AAGCATTGATTCGTACTTATAATAAACCGTACAACTGATTCTTTAACTTCAATTATATAAATAACTGCAAAAAAAGATTTAGAGATTGACATTAAAATGAACGGTCTACAACTGGTATCTCATAGATACGTTCACATCTACCCGTGAATTTATGCATATAAGGACCTTCATTACAATTAACAATCTACGTCTATTAAATTGAGAAATACAGTAGACATAAAAAAAAGCAAAATATAGTCATACACAATTAGTATTTATATAAATGAAAACAAATTGCAGTTATATCAACAATAAATAAGTGCTTATAAAAATACTTATAGTTTTTAGACCAAAATTAGAACAATAAGAAAAGATCATGATCAAATACCAACTATGTTCAATGGAATAACCATGACCATTTTACCTGATCAAAGTAGATGATAATGGAAATTGTTGTTTCTGTCTACTACGACATTTGTTCGATTGATAACTGCTCTCATAAGTGATTGGTATTTTGCAGTTTTTAAAAACTTAACATTAACAATCTCATGGGAGAAATAATTTTCAAAAACATGTCAGTTTCTAGAGCAATGACACATATATGAGCAACAAATGTTTCAAAGAAGCATGTTATATAGAAACGATAAGTTGTTTAATTAACTTATATTATGGACATGGTTGACATGCTTGAAAAATTAATATTGAGTTCCTAATTATGTGCCATAATGTCTAATTATGTTCCAGTGCGTTTGCCAAAACGTTGAGTTGCACCTCAAAAAACCCTTAATCTCTTTTCTATTACAAACCTAGTGTTGAATTGATATTTCAAAACATTACGAAAATTTCAAAGCTATTCATTAACAATTCATTTTTCTATCTAAAACTGTAAATGAAGTGGACATAAAATCTTTTAGAAATACATCATTTATAAAATGGACATAAAAATAGCATGCTCACGTTAAGCCAACTATTAGGATTCAATACTTTTCATACAAATTTCATGACACAAAACATGAAATACAGTTTGAGAAACAACAAAGACTGTTATGAACTTATAAGGAATATAGGTTTATTATCATGTCATTAAGAATATGTGGTCACACAATCAATATAAGTTTATTGTCCTAATGATTAAAGCAGATATTTTTTTATGACAGGTCAAAGTAATTCTTTTATCATTTATATTGAATGGCAAGAAGTGCAGCTATGTTATCCCGGACACCGCCTACATAATGCATGAACACGTTAAATTTTAAATTCAAGCCATCATTTTATTAATAATAAACTCAAGCATAGTTCTAAATTATTGTTTGCTAATGCAATTGTAGTTGCAAAAAGATGCATTATTGACGTTTAAAGTGTAACCTTAACGTCAACATTAATTTAGAACCCTGAACTTAAGGACTATGTATAACAAAAAAAGTTGAAATCGAAAAGAAAATGAAACCTCTTTAGGGTCAGCAAGCATTACAATAATAAAAGAATCAATAGCATCCTGATTTTTAGTCCTAGCAGCAAGAAGAATCACATGTTCCTTATCTATACCCTTAACAAAAAACTTCAATCAAGTTTCTATCAAATACTCAATTTGTTAAGTGTAAGCGTTCTTGTCTTGTCACTACAAAGAACGTTCATACCAGCCATTTTCTCAAGGGCAGACATTCTTTTTGTAATAGCACCTTGCTGAGAAATTTTATGAGAACCAATAGCCATTGCCACAGACAAAACAATTAGCATAGAAATAGGAATTTCATCAATCAAAATGACTAACCGGTTGTCAATACATTGCATAAAATATGGATGAGCTTTAAAAAATTGTAACACATATGCATGTATATTAAGAATAGTTTGAAGATTATAGGCATATAATAATGCATGAGCTTTACACATATCTAACTGATAAGTAGTGCAATATAGATTTAGTTTTATAAAACTTAAATAGTGCATGGTCTTAGTTACACGCTCTTAATTGAATATTTGATAGGCATGACCAATGCATGATTATAGGCATCCATTTGAAAATAATGCATGAATAAGAAATACATCAAACTTAAATAGACAACATCTATTGTGGCCACACATCAAATAGGCAACATCTACTTCCTGCTGCAAAGTAATACAAACATGAAACTTAAAAATTATACTTTAAGCATTGCATTGTATTGTGGAAAGTCATCATCATATAATGAATTTACACAACTAATAACAATGAATTTACATAACCAATAGTAACTTAACATGAAATCCTTGGTGAATTACCACGTATAGAACCAACTTTATAAAACAATGAATTGTAGTATCAAATATCATGTGCGGGATAATTGACTAATCATGTCGGCATACTGTAGAAGCTTATCATTTACTAATTTTTCCTCTTAATTCAATAGTATTATATGTGTTTGTAGCCTTACCTATCAGTGGACTGAAAATTAATGGAGAAATAAGGTCGGCGGCATAAGTGATTCTTGAGAGACATCCTTAAATCATTCCTTTAAATAAAGACTAAACTTTTAAGTATATAGAGGTGGAGTTGAGCAAAGTTTTCAATTATTATACTCTAAACTTTCTTAGCCAGTATTGCACTCTATAAAAAACAATAAGATTTATAGAATTCAAAATTGTAAGAATTCCTAAAAGCATTGTCTGTTACAGGCAACTATGTATCCAATGGAGAGTTTATATACTCTTTCTATCTCCACTTCAAATTGAATTGCACTATTTAAACATCTTTTAACTATCCTATGCAAAATATAACATTTCATGATTTTTCTTTGATAAACTGAGTGCACATTCTAAAACGGTGCGACCATTTCGGCGGGTAACAAATTTAACATTTTATAAATATGGTAAGGATTTTTAACAGCATCAAGAGATTAAACTTTCTATCTATTTTCAACATTTTATAAATCTTGCAAAGATTCTTATTAGAGTAAACATGAACATTTATCAACAATGTAACATTTAAGAAGTTGAGCCTCAACCAACTAAAGAAACAACAACCTTAAAAAATGAAACACAAATAAATTTATAACACCATCTTGAGAGTTTGTTGTAGCATATTTTTTCAAATATTTCACATGCATGTTTAGATCAGAACTTAAAATAAAATTCAGTATATAGAAAATAGCACTTAAGCTTATTTTTCTTTCATTTAGACATTTCTTCAAACACATAATGAGCAATAATACAAAGAAACAACAGTCATAGATAATATAATATATTTTGCAATTTCGACCACCGAGTTAGGAATCAACCATTTACCTACCATAAAAGGAAAAACATACCACTTAAAGAAGGCGAAAATCGTATTATGAATCACAACTTTTGAAAGCAATTGATGCAAATCAGACACAATTTCCTTAAAAATTAAAAGAATAACCAAAGAAAAAAGTAGCATTCGTTATTTATTCTCCCTATCAGCATTCACCTGAAATGAAAAGTTTAAACAAAAATAATGAGTTCAATGCAATGATAATCAACATTGAATCAATGATTTGAAATAAAATAATACTCCCTCCGTTCCTTTTTAAGTGTCGTTTTAGAAGATTTTTTTTTTGTTTCTATTTAAGTGTCGTTTTTATAGTTTAATGTTATCATTTGTCAATTATATCCCTACTTTCTCAATAAATTCACTTCACATTTTCCATAAAATTAATTATTTTTTCAATTAGTTATTGGAAAAAGAGAGATGGTATATGATTGAATTTATTTGGAAAGAGAAAATAAATGAGGATATAATAGGAAAAATAACTCTAATAATCCACTATCTTGATTGAAGAGTTTATGCTAAAATGACACTTAAAAATAAACGGAGGGAGTAGTAAAGTTGAGTGATTTAGAATCATAATTAGAAAGTAGAAGAAAAGCATAAGTCACCGAAATATCCAACACCATACATACCATTCATTTACCTTCCAGTTTTCATGTAGAATGGAAAATCCACTTCCCCTGTTAGCAAATATTTGTGTAGTGGAAACCAATACTCAGACAAAGAGAAGGTGGAAGAAGATGGAAGAACGAAGAATGGATATAGAGAGAGTTCTGGAAGATGGAAGAACGAAAAATGGAAGACTGGATATGAAAGAATTGGAATGAATGTGTATTATATGTTTAGATGTTTAATGCCCGTGCTTAATAATTGATGAACAACATGAAAAGTTGTGAGGCTTTCCGTTATCCAAATAAATGATATTTCTTTTGAATTGATTTTCTCACGTTTTCATGAAGCTTAATAAATACTTTAATGTATAGTTAGATATTAAAATAAAAATAAAATAAAAATAAAATAAAATAATAATCAGTAAGAAAAAAATATAAATATGACACATCAACTACAATAAATATTAAATAAATATAATTGAAGTAAGTGATTAATAAAATATTTTTAACTCTAAAATCAAAAAAATTAGTATGTGAAATCAGAAGATTACATTTAAAATTTTAAAATACTTTACATTATATATTTATAATAGATAATAAATATAAAAGTTGATTTTCTCCTAGCGGAATTCTAGCGGCACACGTAACAACACAAATATATATTATGTTAAACATTTAATAGTACAACTTTAGTCACAATCAAACTATTAACAACTACTAAAATAATCACCAATAATACATCAATAAAATTACTTTATCAAAAAAAATTAGTCAAACACTTAAATAAATAAAACTTAATATCCATAAATTACAAAGTACAAATTCAAAATAAAATAATTTTATTAAAGATAAAATAATAATAATAATACTATGTAACTTAATTTTTCGTATATATATTGATTGAGTAAAAAAAAAAAGAATTTGAAAATAAATTTTATATTAAAAAGAAAAAAGAAGAAAAGTGGAGAAGAAGAGAGTGAAGTGGGTCAGAGGCACACGTTTTGAGCAGGCAAATCCATGTGCTCACATGGATAGAGAGAAATAGAAGAAGAAGACGATGATGATTCAATAAAAATCTGAAACCCTAGAAATTCCAATTTCTTCAATTTTGATCAATCAATCAAATACCCATAGATTGCAAGATGAAGGAAAGCAGTGATGGATTTGTTAGAGCGGATCAGATTGATCTGAAAAGCATAGATGAACAGCTTGAGAGACATCTCAACAAAGTGTTGACTATTGACAAGAAAAAGCGCGTTGAAGTTGAAGATTCTACTGCTTCTAATGTTTTTGATCATGCTCGAGTTCATACCAGCAGCGCTGGTAATTCTCCTGTCAAGTTCAAAACCAACTTCAAGAAGCAGAAGCAGGATTGGGAAATTGATCCTTCTAAGCTTATTATCAAAAGTGTTATTGCTCGGGGTACTTTTGGGACTGTTCATCGTGGTGTCTATGATACTCAAGATGTTGCTGGTTTGTTCTTCTTTTTATTTTATTTTATTTTATTTTTGTTTTAGGATGAATTTTAGTACTCATCAGATTCAGATGCTTAATTCCATCAATTTTTATAAAAAATAAAAAAACATATTTTCTCTTGAAAAGAGTTGACTTTTATAATAATTTTGTGAGGTTGAATAATTTTTGGGAATAGTATCAAATTTGGGGATGTAATAAAGTTTGTTGTTTTTTGTTTTGTTGGTTGTTTTTTTATTTATTGAAATTGAGTTAGGGATTTCATTTTCTGCATTTTACTGATAATGGGTTGTAATTACTTATTTCATGATCACAGTTAAACTGCTTGATTGGGGTGAAGAAGGCCAAAGGACAGAAGCTGAAGTTTCTTCACTGAGGGCAGCGTTTATACAGGAAGTTGCTGTTTGGCATAAACTTGATCATCCCAATGTCACAAAGGTTGATTTCATTTTATTTGACTTCAACCTCTTTTCTTATGTTTGTATTGTTTGTGTATTGTATGATGTGATTGTGGTTTCGATGTTGTATGTGCTGATGTTATTTGCTTAATATTTTCTTTTATTTGGAATGCAATCCGTCAATTTTTTTCTTCCTGAAAATGCAATTTAGTTCTTCTTTTTAAGTACGCCTTTGCATATTATATCTATTGAATTCATGAAACATATTTGCTTTCCATTGTAGACTCTTTTTATATGTTGAGCATACTTTCATATGGTTGTTTATTGTATATAGATTTTTGTCATGGATTGGAAGATCTATTTTTTGAATTGTGAATCTAATGTAATTATGAATTGTTTGATACATGATAAATACAAATATGGTATTTTGAAGTATAAAATAAACGGATTTGTTAAAAGAAGCAAAAAACACATGTTCATACATCACATACGACAATAAAATGTGATAACAAAACACTTTAGGGCATATTTGACGGGTTATTTGGAATATTGGCTTTTGGTTGATTCTGTCCTTTTCTGAACAAAAAGCGAGAAAAAGCCCTAACAAGTCTTTCAGAAACTGGATTGTGCGACCCTGCATGTTTCAAGGCTGCATCTGAAGCAAAATGTAAATTGTGTGATTTAGGGGCATGTTGCTATTCATTCAAATGAATCATAATTTATGTTGCAATTTATTTCCAAATCGATGCGCATAAGGATTTATATTGATCTGGTCCAGTTTTGTTTCAAATTGAGATAGGAATCACATTTATTTGGAACACTGATAATCACTCAGATGTGGATAGCGGAAGGCCAAAAATCCGCTATATTAACACACTTTTATTGCCTGTGGCACCGCCATGTCAAACATCTCTTCACAAATTGCCTATGGTGGTTGTCAAGAAACCCGTTATGCCATTCCGCTACAGCCTCCATTTAACAACACTGTAACCCATGTCCAGTGATTAAGTCATTTGATAATAACTCTTTTATACTCGATGATGCTTGTAACTTTAGGGGTTTTCTTTGTAACTGCGGCATCACTACCTTCCTACCTCCGTTCTTTGCTCTTCCTTCCAACCTCCTCTCGTTAATGCTTGTAACTTTTAGGGGTTTCTTTGTAACTGCGGCATCTCTACCTTACTACCTCCCTTCTCTGCTCTTCCTACCTCCTTTCTCTGCACTTCCTTCATTTACATTCAGCTTGACTTTTCTTGCTAGTTTGGAAGGGGTTTCTTTGATTGTTGTTGAGGACCCTTTAATTGTTATTAATTTGTAAAAAACTCTTCATACATATTTGATCGTATCTGACTAGACTGGACCGTCACAACTTACTTCGAGCAGAATTTGAGAGTGAGGTGGGGGTACCTACAAGACACTCCGATGCCAAAATGAGACATAGAATGAGCTAGCAAGTAAGAGTGAGTAAGAGATGTTCAATGCCTGACCCTCTCGAAAGAGAGGGTATTTATAACCCCCAGCGCTGGGTCAAGGTCTCCTCATTGGGCTGGTCCAGCAGGCCCAAAGTGGAGACTGCCAGGTCCTACGTGAGTAGTGGGGACCTGCACGTGGTCCCCCACCTGGATGACTTCCTCCGCAAGATCAGGAGGATATGAATGCGGTCTTTCCGAGGCCACGAAGACTCCGTGATATTCGGAGACGTTGATAGTCAATCCTACGAGGAGGATGCTCGTAAGGTGCTTCTGCTCGTCGTGGATGCTCCCCGCCAGACGCGAGGTCGTGTGAGGGGATCAGTCTTGGTCGGGAAGAGGATCGGAAGGTGACCTCGAGGTCCTCCTGACCGGTGATGATCTTCCTAAGACTAAATGGGTTCATCCCCGTGTGGTGAGGTTGCCTCCTTGCGGGGAGTGGAAGTTGCTGCCTGACGCAGTCGAGGACAGAACTGGCCAGTATGTCTTGACCGACATAATTGGATTGGGCCTCACATGGAGTTGGGCCAAGGGCAGGCCCAGTCCAGAACAATATTATTTAAAGAACACAAAGTATGCAGGTTTGACAATGTAATGGTCTTCTATAATCTTTTATTTGCAAAATTAAACCATATATTTTGTGGAAACTAAAATGTTAATCATATTTTATTGAACTTTTACAACACGAACTCAACTGTCCTAGGTATGCCTTTCTCTCTTAATTTTTCTGATTATATGTTGATAATCTAATTTTAAGTTGGGATTTGGAACTCTAAAGTAGTTTTGATGATAAGGGGTGTACGAAATGAGATTGTTGTGATATGTAATTAGCAATGGCAGTTCATCAGGGAAATATTATATCATTCAAACACCGGTGGCATTGGTTGCATATAATATTGCCTTATTAACATGCTACTAATCTTGACTTCTAGAGATTTTAAAACCCATAATTGAATGTATATTTACATATTTGGAGTTTTACTTCTTTTGTATTATTTCGGAAGCAGTTTTGAGGAGATATGTGTTGAAAATAGCATACCCATCATAAAGTTGGCTATATGATAAGTAACTTGGCTACATCCTTTCCATAAAAGTATAGAACTTAAATCATGCATCGTTAATAAGTGTAGATACTCTGTTGATCTAAGAATGAATACCAATTTCGTCATATAAAAGAGCCAGTTTTAATATGATTATCATTCTTTGTTTAAATTGTCGCAACTTCAGAGTGCTTTAAACTGGAACTAGTCTTTCACATCAGCGGATAAAAATGGATGTGAATTGGCATTTTCTATTTGGTTCAGCATCCTTTCTACTGTTGAACAAAGCTTGTAAATAAATAAACCAGCCTGCTGGCATGTTTTGAATTTTCCTTATCATGAAAGCTTCTATAATTTATGGTGAATCTGTTCTTTGAAGAATTTATGTTCTTACCATGTTCTCCTGTTCAATGCATGTGTTGTACATTCATTGCGTTTAAGTCCTTCCATTTGGTATGCTGTGTGTTCTTCTCTTTGTAGTTTCCTTTTCTGCAACAAAAGATGCATGCAGGTATAGAGAACAAGTATAATCATAACGCCTCTAAGGCCTTCATTGCTCTTTTTCTTCATGACATATTCTACTTCCTGCTCTATGATATCTTGTGATATTTGGTGGATACTTTTTTTACTTTCTCTCATTTCAATTGGTATTATGCACTTCTCTGAAAGTGTCCTGTTTTCATGTTTAGTTTATAGGGGCAACAATGGGATCTGCAGAATTGCAGATACAAACTGATACTGGTCTAATTGGCATGCCCAGCAATGTCTGCTGTGTTGTCGTGGAGTATCTTGCTGGAGGTACTCTGAAATCATACCTGATAAAAAACAGGAGGAGGAAATTAGCTTTTAAAGTTGTCATTCAGCTGGCACTTGATTTAGCAAGAGGGTATTTATCTATTTTGATTGAAGTTTAGCAGATTGGAAAAATAAATTATGCGCATAATTCGTCTGTATAACTACTTAACTTGAACTCACTTGGTTTTACAGGCTGAGTTATCTTCACTCTCAGAAGATTGTCCACAGAGACGTGAAGACAGAAAACATGCTTCTGGATAAGACTCGCACAGTGAAAATTGCTGATTTTGGTGTTGCACGAGTCGAGGCATCAAATCCTAATGATATGACTGGGGAGACTGGAACTCTTGGTTATATGGCTCCTGAGGTGTGTAATCAGTACCTGTAAAATCCTTTTAAATTTATAAATGATTGTGCTAACTTGTATAACAGAGTGAAAGCCTTAGTGCAAAGGCACACAATGTCTAAATAGGAAAGGATCCGCTCTTGTTAAAACTTGAAATGGCCTTGTCATGTGAAAACCTTGTGTATCTCTCTTCATAGCTTAAAATAAGACTCTGGTAGGAGACTTGGGTAGTGCTATGTGAGAGAGACTTGGGCATTATAGGGTGTCCAAGTCCGACATCTAGTAGTATGGGATACTCTGTGGTGTATTTAAGTGGCTTGATTCTTCTCCCTTTGATAGCTAGCTTTTAAGAGAGGGTTCTCCAAGTGCTTAAATACTTACCAACTGGAATCAGAACTGGTTTCTGGTGGCTCAGAACGGGAAAGGCCATAGAGTGCCAGCCGCCAGGACATCAGTTCTCAGCGGCGGTGCAATTGAAGAGACTTGGCCATTATGGGATGCTCAAGTCTATGATGCTCGGTGGTGTATTTAAGTGATTTGGTTCTTATCCCTTGATAGCTAGCTTTTAAGGGAGGGTTCCTTAAGTGCTTAAATACTTATCAGACCATGAATTCGTGAATGCATGAAGAAAGAGATATGTACAAATTTCCCCCCGGACTTTTATGTCTAAAATCTCACATGGGAGGACTGTGATGGGGAATGGGCATCTCTAGCCTCAATTTCATCCAAATGGGGCCGAGTGTCTCTATTCTCCAACGTGGTTCTAAGAGTTTTCAATGAGAATAAATGATTACGTTAATATGGCTGCAAATAGTGTGTGAAACTAAAATAAGAAAAGAAAAATATGAGATAAACAATATTAAGTTGTTCAACTAGAAAGCTGTTGTATAGGTTCCAATGGGGTTGGCTGATCATTTTTCTCCCAACCCCTTTGGAAGAAAATATTAAGTTGTTCAACTAAAATATTAAGTTGTTCAACTAAAAAGATGTGAAACTACTAATCGTTTTTCTCCCAATGGGGTTGGCTGATTACAGGTTTTAAATGGAAACCCCTACAATAGGAAATGTGACGTGTACAGTTTTGGAATCTGTTTATGGGAGACATATTGTTGTGACATGCCATATCCCGATCTAAGTTTCTCAGAAATTACTTCAGCTGTTGTCCGCCAGGTATACTTGTTACTCTGTTTTGATTTATTGTCTCATTCAAAGCAATCCAAAATTGTCACACTGGTATATCCAGTGTCTGTGAATCCATTATAATAAAATTATTATTTTCTGTTGGAATTTAGAATTTGAGACCAGAAATGCCAAGATGCTGTCCAAGTTCTCTTGCAAATGTAATGAGGAAATGCTGGGATGCCAGTCCTGATAAGCGGCCAGAGATGGAGGAGGTTGTCTCCATGCTGGAGGCCATCGACACATCCAAAGGTGGAGGCATGATCCCTGGTGATCAGCAGCAGGGTTGTTTATGCTTCCGCAAACATAGAGGGCCATGAAGTTCTATTCTTTTTAGTCGACAACAAACCATTTGGTTTTAGTGGTTTTTCACTATTTGAAGAATCAAATTTGTATCTATGGTGAGAATACAGAAATTGGATACTGTAATGAGATGAGAAAAATACATAGTAGCAGGTATAGGTTGAAGGAGCTGGTACCTCTGATTTTCTTTTACTCTTACCTTTTTTTCTCCACATTGGTTTGAGTTTTGTGGGTATGGGTATTAATTTCTGCCTATGTTGCCTCCTACCTGGATCTTCATTATACTTTATATATATATATTACATTATACTGTTGCAAACTTGCAATCATATTTATGTGATTAAGTTTGGATCAATTGGCTTGGTATTCTAATCTCTATATTCAAAAAGGTCAATATATCTGTTTGATTGTTCTTGTTTATTGAACCGTGATTCATTTATGATAAGTGTATATCGATTTTCCCTGTCATATGCTTGATTCTATTCTCTCCTGATAAAAAAATCTAGGCAAAACTCAAATGAGCACATACATCATTCTTGCTCACAACAGTCACTATAATGATCTCAAGTAATTCTATTCTACAATAGATCAAATGCTAATGTGCTATGATTTCAACAAAGTGAAATAAGTTATTCTTAAAAAAAATAGAAAAGGGAAAAATCCCATGAGTCCTCTGCATGTATTTCATGAACAACTTTTTCCTTTGAATTTGTTCTGTCTTTCTTTCAACCCAAGCTGATATCATACCATGTTGATATTAGACGGCAGTTCTTCGTCCCACTTTGTTGATCGATAGTAAATTCCATAAAGGATGAGCTGAGCCAATCCAGAAATTGCTCCCAATCCATTGGGAACCTATGCATTCAAACATTTTATTCTCTTAGAACATATTAGATTAATCTCAAAGCTTAATCAAAGGATTAACCATTTCAAACAAAATATGAAGTTAAATAAAATATAGATCCTTAGAACGAGATAGATAGACTACCGCTATGAATGGATCCCATTTAAGAAGTGCATAAGTTGTCCAAACAAGTCCATTGAGGAAGTTGGCAAGTGAAAGTAAGAATGGCATATACTTCACACTCTTTGTTCTAATGACTTGTCTCTGTACTTTTTTCAACATGTAAAGAAACAAATTTTGAGTATATATAAAGGGGCAACAGTAGTCGCTATTATGCAAAACCAAAAACACTGAATAACCAAACGTACCATGACAGTTAAGGGTGAAAAGTACATAAGGATGTTGAAGATTATGCATATAAATCCAACAATCAAATTTCTGTGCTTTTGGTTGTCAATAAAATACATGACAATAAATATCACTAACAAAAGGAAGACAACTTCCGCAAGAAGGGCCAACGAGATCTTCTTCTGAAATTCGTTAAATTCATCCCAACCATCAATCGGTTAGGTCAAAGTTATAAAATCAGTAATATAAATAAATTATTAACTCAAAGAACTACTAATATTTAGAAAAACATATCCGACGAGACATCTGACTCATGGTCAAATATCAATTCATGGTTCAACTTACAACCATTTGAACCGTCATTTGAATTTTAAAATATAAAAAGAAAAAGAGATGTTTCTTACACGCTTGTTCGCGGTAGAGTATATGAAGAAAATGGAAGTGTAGACAATCTCAAGGAAAAAACCAAAGCCATTAATTGTGACGACAAGAGTGTTGCTTTCACTTATGAATGGCATTCCATAGAATGACCACATTGCACAATTGAGTATTGTTACCACATATGGATCTGGTTTAAAATCTTGCACTGATTTTGCTTTCCATATTTTTATAAATGTAGGCCTGCATATATACATTATAAACATAAACTTACCATTCAATTATCAGTGCTAAAATCCATTCAAAAGTACAAATTGAAGAGAAAGAGGTTGAGAAATTTACAAGGGAGACATGAATAAACAAAATGAGATGACATTTCCTGCAAATAAATTAACAATATTATCAAAAAATAAATAATAGTGTATATATTTTTATATGAAAAATTACATGGTTATATTTTAAAGCTTGTATTAAAATAATATAGGTCTCTTTGTGTATACAAATCTTTGAAATGAGGAAGAATTGGAAAAGACGTTTTTGTGCACCAACCGATTATTCCAATGAGAGTTCTTATAGAATCAGTGTTAACCATGGCTACAACACTCAAAGAAGAAACTGAAGATAGAAGAAGAATAAAACAATTTATTAGTGTAAATGAAAATTGTTTACTAGATAATTTTGTTTAATGTTTGTAGTTTAAGCAATATTAATATAGTGTAAATGAAAAATTGATATAAATAGGAGACACTTATCTAAGTTTGGGTGAAGTTATAGTTGTTGACCGCAACTAGTGTGAAGTGGTGACTGGTGAACCTGTATTGTAGCTACAAGAAACTTTTTCTTTCTTCGGAATTCACTCACTGTCTTACCATCTAACTAACACCATTGGTTTCTAAAAATAGAATTCATATGATGTTTTCAGTATTTTCAATGATTCATTTATGTACTATGTACTTTTTGTTGAAGCTTTGGATTTAGACAAGAAAAAGACTGGAAAAGAGAAAAAGAGAGAGTAACAATATATTATTATTATTATTATTATTATTATTATTATTATTATTATTATTATTATTATTATTATTATTATTATTATTATTATTATTATTATTATTATTATTATTATTATTATTATTATTATTATTATTATTATTATTATTATTATTATTATTATTATTATTATTATTATTATTATTATTATTATTATTATTATTATTATTATTATTATTATTATTATTATTATTATTATTATTATTATTATTATTATTATTATTATTATTATTATTATTATTATTATTATTATTATTATTATTATTATTATTATTATTATTATTATTATTATTATTATTATTATTATTATTATTATTATTATTATTATTATTATTATTATTATTATTATTATTATTATTATTATTATTATTATTATTATTATTATTATTATTATTATTATTATTATTATTATTATTAACTTTTTTTTTTAATAAAAAAGAAAAACTTTTATAGATAAATTTAAAAACAATACAACTGAAGCGATCAAAAGTGGTCCAGCAACAACAGACAAAACAAAAGTCAACAAACCTCCTACACCTAAGGCATAATTTTTCCCCCTATATGTTGTCTAAGTTTAGGATGAGTCCAACATCTATAATCAATATAATTCACTATGTCATTGCCTAGATTACGATTCATATTTCCTGCATTCACAACAAAACAAATAGAATTCCTGAAGTTCCAAGTTTCATATATAGTTTCAGAAAAAGCACACTTTAGCAAGCTGGTTCTCCAACCTTTCCTCTTACAATGCTCAAGCATCCAATTAAGCTCATCAAACCAGCCCTTGGGACTATGAACAATCTGTGTAGCCAATTGAGGACCTCAATCCAAATATTCCTCATAACATCACACTCAAAGAAAAGATGCTGAAGTGACTCAGTTTTCTTGCAAAAACAGCACTCCATACTGCTAAGCATGTCAAATCTATCCAACCTCTCTTTGGTAGGCAGACTGTTGTGACAAGCCCTCCAAATACAATGCACTGCACGGGGCCTAGCATAATTACCAATGAACAGATTCCTCCAATCAACCTTGAGATCACTACTGCAGAGCTCTATGTACAACTCTCTAGCTTTAAAAATATTACTATGAATCAATTTCTCCCAAGTCTGAGATTGAGAGGCGAAGTCTCTACACTTCAAAACTGCCAGCAGGATCCAAGAGCAGCTTTGTTTTACATTTACTTCTATTATAGTGAACTCCTTCACATAGTAGCTGTGTATCCACCTAATCCAAAGATTGTCTGTCTTGCCACATAAGTTCTAAAGCAACATGCACATGCTAACCTGATTCCACATCTTGAGATTGATGATAGTAAGGCTCCCACGACTTTTAGGATTGCAAACTTTATCCCAGGCAATAGGAGATTTCCTTGAGATAAACTCCTTCCCTGTCCAAAGAAAAGTTCTCAAAATAGCATTCACTTTTTTTAAAACCATCTTCAAAATGGACATACACTGCATCCAAAAATTAGTGATAGCAAAAAGTACACTTTTAATCAGTTGAGCTCTGCCAGCAAAACTAAGCAACTTAGTGCTCCAATGCTTAACTCTGCTAACAATTTTTTCTACCAAAATCAAACAATGATAGCTAGAAAGCTTCTTACTCGTGAGGGGTATACCCAAATACCTAAACGGTAAGGTGCCTTCAGCAAAAGAAGTGACCTGGGATGTCCTGTTTAATAGTATCATCCACGTTACCAAAATAGGCATTGCATTTAGAAGGATTCACAACAAGACCGGTTGAAAAAGAGAATTTATCAAAGGCTGTTAACATGGTCTTCACATAATTAACATCACCTCTGGAAAAAAGTAAGAGGTCGTCCGCAAAATATATTTCCACAATACGCAAGGACTTGCAGTTAGAATGAAACTTAAACTCAGAGTTACTACTTAAACTGGCCATGACCCTATGAAGGTACTCCATGACAATCACAAACAAAAGGGGAGACAAGGAATCCCCTTGTCTCAAGCCACGCTTAGCAACCAACAAATCAGAAATGTTATTATTCACGTTATACCTATAGGTGACTGAAGAGACTGTCAGCATAACCCAATTAATGAACTTAGAAGGGAAACTCATCTCTCTAAGAATATCCTCCAAAGTCCCCCGATCAACAGTCTCGTAGGCCTTCTGCAAATCCATTTGAAGCATACATCTATGGGTACCACCTTTAGTGCTGTAACCTTCCAAGAGCTCGTAAGCAAGGAGAATATGATCATGTATGTGTTGGCCAGGCAGAAATGCAGCTTGGTTTACATTGATGATACTACTGAGCACTTTTCCCAATCTTCCAACTATCAATTTAGAAATAATTTTATAGAGGGTAGAGCAGCACGAGATAGGTCTATAGTCCTTAACCATACTAGCAGAGTTGTTTTTCGGGATAAGAGTAAC